ATTAATTCTCCTGGTTCTACAAACACACATCAGAATTGGCACCATACAGAGAACCTTGTATTAGGTTGCATCTTTGCTTGAACTCCATGAGAATTTCAATGAAAATGCTTCCTTGTGCAAAGTTACCTCCTCCACTCAGCTCTGACAACCTTATCTGAAATTGCCAAGCCAGCCATAATGGAGAGTCATGGTGCAGAATAGTCATTTGAATATGAGAAAAAAAATATTGATGAAAATAAGCTAAATAACATAAATTATCAAATTAAATCTGAGACACATGGGTGGCAGGTGAGTTTTGCTCTCATACTAGGATCAGAGATGAAGATAACGTGAGCAAACAAACATATTTCTTAGAATGTAGCAGAAATAAATCTTGGACAAGCAGGAAAGTTATGTGAAATCAAAAGCGCACCTTAAACGATGAATTCATAAATCAGAAATAATCAGCAAAAACACTAAATGAATATCTGGTTTTGATACCATGCTCAAAATGCACTCAAAATGTAATTTGCATGGTAAATATTACATGCACTACCAACATATGAGCATGCTTAACTAGACATAAAGATATGAATGTCAGTACACCAAGAGGAATGAATTCTCATATTTTATGAAAGAATGGGAAGTACTAAGTGGCATATCCATATAGATAATACAGATATAGCAAACCGAAAACACAGATGAAAGGCATAAAACATCCAGTGTTGAATCGTTCTTACCATTAGCGTCTCTAGAGGATGATAGAGATTTCTCATTGCGGATAGCTCCTTTGCCAGCTACTTGAACCAGTCTTTGAGCACGTGGTGACAATGAACTTAGATTGTTAGCAGTTGAAGATGGCAAAGAATATCGCCTGTTTAACCCATTTTTCTCCACCACATCACGGGTAAACCGTGGGGAGCCTTGACCCCTGAGTCTAGCTTTTGCAGATTCAGTTGGTGCCATATAACTGGGCACTTTTGGCATGCTATTTAACCCATTTTCTTGATTATCAATTTTTGCAGGGAAAGAAGCTCTTCTTTGGTTTGCTTTTGAGCTCTCATCGCTGACCTGCTCATCCTTAGGGCTTAACTCCTCTGTTACCTGCATGTTCTCAATTACACCATTATTTTCTGCAGGTTGCAAGTCAACTGCAGGACAGATATTAGACTCATCAGGAGAAGCATCTAATGTGGGCAATTTCAGATCTGCCTCAAGATTTAATGTTTCTGAGAGTGTTGCAGTCACATCTATCATCTTCTCAGTAGATTCCTGCTCTGACACATCAGGAGCATCAGAACTAGAAGTTTTCTTCAGAGTCTGCTTTGTTTTGTCATTAACTACCTCAGACTTATCAAAAACCTCCTTTGCAGAGTCAGAAAGTTTTCTTAAATTGCGCTTAACCTTCTCAAGCTCATTTTGAGAATGTTCCCGAGCTGAATCTGCTGTGTTTCCGAAAACTCTCCTCAGACCACGTTTGGGTTTTTCATACTCCAAATTAGAACGACTAGATCCATTTTCAACTTTTGCATTGGACAGTTTCCGAACACTTCTCTTTGTCTTTCCTTGCCCATTTGCATCACCCTTTGTCTGAGACTTTGAGGCCAGACTCTTAATTGGTTGTGAAGGGGCTTCCCAAAAGCGTGACCTTGTCCAGAGTTGAAGCCACTGCCAGGATGAGTTAGGTTCCTCTGGGCCATACTGAAGTCGTAGAGGTAATGCAGCAGGTGATGAAGCCAGAAGCTGAGAGTGATTGAAGTGCATAGTCACATAAACAGTTTGGAACGCCAGTGAAAAGAACATAGCAAAATGGCCAGAAGTTGACACATCATAATTCTTGTCATTCAATATACCCTCAGCTTGGAACAGTTAATTAAGTAGCAGCATGCATCAAAAACATTCATCACTGACAAAGTTTCTCCATATTTTGGAGAAAGGAGCCAAGGGCTGGATTACATGTTCCATGTGAAATACTTTTATGCTCATGTTCTAAAGTTCAAGCACTTGGAATAATAAGAATCCTTTGTTTATGGTATACCATTTCACAATGTTCGAACACAAGGCAATGCTACCTTGGCTTGTATAGATAGCTCATGTGTATTACTAATACAAGTCACACCTCCTAAGCTAATTAAATTCATTTCCTAATATTTAAGTCCTCTTAAAGAACATTTTTAGGTAGTGACTTGTAACAAGAATGATGAGTATTAACTACTTTATAAGGAAAATCAACAGACAAACAATCGTCAAAAAAAAGAGGGGGCTGGAGACCCAAAACAATAGATGTGAATGTCAGTGGTCAAATTTTGATACAAACAGGAGGAATCTAGAAACTACCTATAAGATGGGGCATAGAGCTACACATGACAGTTGAGTAAAAATTGGAATAATGTCTGTACTGTACTGATGTTATAAACATCACCTACCATATAGAGCAAAAGAACTATTACTAATAAAGAGTAAGAATGTCTGCAACAGAAAAGTATAACCTTGTAAAAAGACATTGTTAAGAATCAAGAAGCACGAGTGCAAGCTTGAAGCACTGGAAACAGGAGCAAATCTTAACAATGTACAAAAGAAATCAGACAACTAGTGCACACATGCAGGAAGTTTAAGAAGCATGAACATGTTCTAAACAACATGGACTCTCTATCAGCACAGAAGTTCTCATTTAGATAGCTTTATGGCATAAATCTAAGTTGCATCCAATAGTAGTATCAGAAAGCCACAGATATCTATATACAATAACAACAAAAAAGGACCATACCTTTTGAACAAAAGCATTATTTGATAAATTCTTCACCAGAGCAGATGTGCTTACTCTGAAAGAATCAGAGCTTTTAGAACCCTGCTTCAAAAAATAAATAAATAAATAAATAACAGCTAGCTTAGAAGCATGATATAATCATAAAAACACATTTATTCTCGTAGGCACTTTCACATTCAAAAAAAGAACTATGACACGCAACAACATGCTTCTGGTAATTTTTTTCAGAATAGCAAGAACAGATAAGCCTTCATCCAGTGGTCCATCTAATAAATTACCAGAAGCAGATGTTTTTTCTGCACTTCAACCCCAATATCTGAACATCTGACCTTTTGACCACGAGCTACTGCCTGGAACTTAACAATTCCCCAGGTACAGCACAAAGTAGCAACAGCTTGTCTTCTAACCAAGTGACCACGAATAAATGCTTGCAGCCTTATAATGCCCTTGAGGGTTCGAAATGCCCGGCGAGCCTTCCAACATATAATAATGTTGTCATCAGTAAAGTAAAACAGCAGAGCAAAGAATTTTTATCCATCAATAAAACTGCATGATTTTAGGGTTAATAATAATCCTAATATAAGGTCATTCAAACAATAGAATGGTTCAATCCAGATTCTGTGTTTTCATTACACTTTGTGCAAACCCATGCTTACCCAAAATTTGCATTTAGAAGTCATTTGAGTAATAAAATTCAGTACGTAGTAGAATATTTTTAAATAAAAAGGTGCTTGTGCAAAATGACGATATGTCAGAAGCTTCATTAATGCCCCAAAGTGTTTTGCACTCTCACTTTCATTGCCTCTACTCACACACACACACACAAAATGATGACATATGAGAAGCTTCATTAATGCCAGAGTTTTGCACTCTTACTTTCAAACGTGCAGTATGAAACTACTGAAAAATATTGAGACAGCACCCACTTGTACAGTCTAACATACATAAGCATTTAAATTTCAAAGCTTAAATAACTCAATATCATCAAAAACGCCTTGCTCTCCATGTAAAACCAAGAACTGATCATAATTTTATCATCCAATGGAAAGAAAAGTCTAGATCATACCATGAAAATTGTAGAAACAATTATATTTTATTCAATCTTCACATAAAATTTACCTTTAAATAAGGCCAATCATCAGCAATATAAGGTATAATGCAGAGTGAGAAGGATCTAATATGACCACCCAAATGCCAACTCAAGCAACATAAGCAGAATACTATTTCATTACATATAAATTAAGATAGTACCATAGATAATCAGCAGAGTTTACCCACAACTAAATGAAGACTATAGCAGTAAATGGCTTACACATGTTCATATCATACACACCTCTTTAAGTATAACAGTAACCATTAAAGAGAGAGTAAGCTACCAGATAACCTCTGAAAGCAGCCTGTGCCTTTGCAGCAGCTTGGTCAAGCCTAATCCTCTCAGGATCTTCCAGGTTACTCAAATTACTGATTGCGTTATCACTTCCATCCTCTTTTACAGATGGAATATTTCCCCCATCATTTGGCAATTTGGTAGGTATATCTGTCTCGGACCCCACTACATTCCTAGCACTTGTCACCAAAATAGGTGCCGAAATTGATGGAGGATCCACTGCTAGGTCAGACACAGTTACCTTGGAAGAAACCAATACCTCTCCTTTATTTGCAGAATTCTGAACATAATAATCAAACAAAAATTAGAATACGTAGCATTTTCAATCTTCAAATACTATTTAAATATTTGAAGATAACCAGTACTTTCTTACCAGCTTCTCTCTTCCTTTTGACAAATTGGATTTTGAAGATTTCTTCCCAAGAAGCAAGGTCTTGATCCATTTTGCCGGGGATTTTCCCATCTCCGTTAAAACCAAAAATAATTAAAATCCCAAGTTTTAAAATCTGGAAATCTGCGAAAGTCATACACAACAAAATCCTAATATTATCCAAGTTCCATCATTGCATGTAAGCATTAAATTAAAAAATAAAAAAAAGTAGAAACATAGCATTAAAAAAACAAAACCACCCTTCTCAATATCTCAGTACAGCCTGCAATTAATGGCAGGTAAAATTTTACTACACAACATACTCATTTTTACTTCCTAGTAAGATGAAAAACTAAATTCTTACTTAAAAAAAAAAGACACAAATCTATAAAACCAATAGCAACTGAAACTGAAACCGAAAATCCTAGAGAAATAAAATACAAAATACAAAACAGAGTTCGACAATTTTACTAACATTTTCAGCTTTACTTCACAGTCTCAAGTGAAAAAACGACAGATTAATAACCAAAGCCCACATCTGCTTTAAGTTAAACAAAATAACATAACTAAAGCCAGTAAATCAAGACCAAAAAAAAAAAAAGAGCACCAAAGAGATCTGGTCCCGTACAAGAAGCAAGCGTGTCGGCAAAACAAAAAGATAAAAAAAAAAAAAAAAAAGAGTATCAAAAGCTTTTTACCTGAAATGCCGCAAACTTGAAAGCCTTAGCAAGTTTCCATTACTGCAAAAAGAAAAATAAACAGTAAATTTTCAGAGATCTGAAGAACAATTTTTCTTCCTTTTTTTTCCTTACAACTTCATTTTGCAAGCTTAAGAAGATGAAAAGAAGCAAATGCAATGGTAGGAATGAAGAAGAAAGAAATGCACCATTGAAGATCGAACAGGAATCCTCGGAAGAGAATCTTCAGCACTGTTTTTCTTTTTCTTTTTTTGTATTTTTTTGGTTTGCTGTGGAGACTGAAGTTAAATAAATGCTGAAGAAAGAGAGGAAAACAGCCGGCGAATAATAAATTTAAAAGATGAACCCAAAAAAAAAAAAAGGGGAAAGAGGAAGTGTAAGGCTTTAGCAACTCGAAAAAAATCCAGAAAACGACGGCGTTTAATTTGTCAGTGGCCCGGGAAAGTGGGCCCTATTCAAGTCCCCATAAAGCGGCGATGGAGAGATAACATGGTCCCTCTGCCCTTGCTGGTGACCTGTCTCAATTTGCGTCAATTTCCTATTTACTTTTTTTGTCTTTTTTCTTTAAAACTTTAATTAAAAAAATGTCTACAAACATCAAAACCTAGTTAAACTCATTACTTAAAAAAAAATTAATAATTTATTATTTTATTTTAAAAAATAAAATTCAAATTTAACTTTTTAAATATAAAATATATATTTATTATTAATAAATTTTATCTACATTTCTCATAATTTTAATTTTTCTTATGTGATATTTTATTTTTTTTCCAACTAATATCATATAAATAACTTCTATCTCCATAAAGATTTAAAATATTTTAAATATAAACAAGTAACTTAATTTTAATTTGAAAGTATTTTAATTTTATTAAACAAGATTGACCGCTTAATCTTTTATGAAAACTGAACTATTCACAATGTGCTAATTAAAATATTTATGTATTCACATAATATTAATTGAGAAAAAAATGATAACATATCAATTAGAAAAAGTTAAAACCACAAAAAGAATAAGGTGTACTTGACCAATTTAATCAAATATTCCAATAAATTAATTATTTTGAAATGATTGTAAATTTAATGTGACTTGTTTAAAAAGATGCCATGAAAGGAACTTTTAGTATAAAACTTAATGTGGTAGTTGCATTTAATTTTATAAAGTCTTACATTTAATTTTACATTTAGTAGTATTTTTGAAGACCAAAGAAACTCATTAACTTCTAATAAAAGACCTTTTATGTCATGCTTGTTAATTTTTTTAATTAGGACATCAATAAAACTCAAGATTCTTTTGGTACAAAACAAAATTAAATGTACCTAAACTCAATTAAACCCGTTTTAAGACAAGTAGTGGGATCAATTGTCTAGAGGAGTGTCGAAGATTCCTTAAAAAGGCAAACAAATCACAACAATTAAAATACATGGTGGTTGCCGGCTGGCTGGCTGGTAGTTACTAATGACTAATGGAAATTATTATTATTTTTCTTTGAATCAAATAATTAAAACTACTAATGGTGGTTACATACATTTTTCAACTGATTAATTGTGATTTTAAGTGTACAATCAAATCAAGTGGACAGTTGTTAAGTATATAAGTGAGATTACACAAAAATAATCATATTTAATTATGTAAACTTTACCAACAGTTCCTTCTATTTTAATTTTTCTGACATAACACTTGTGTTTTTTTTTCTTTTCAATTAGCTCTTTATGGATAAGATCTGTTATTGAAAGAAATTGTATTTTTAATAATAAAATTATTAAAAAATTATTTTTAATTTTGAATAAATTAATTAATTTTGTAATTGATAATATTTTGATGATTTTATTCGTAATAAATTAATCAGAAAAGAAAAACATAAAATGTCAGAAAAAAAGTTAAAATGTCTCATGGAGAATGAGCCACTGACCCACACATTGCAAGTAATTAATGGTGGGCTTGTAACTGGGCCGCAAGCTATTTAATTATGTACCTAACTCTGGGCCCAAAGGCTTCCCTCTTGTGAGATTTGCGCAATTAGGGGAATCAAGGTTTGAGGTTTGCCCAGCCCAATATCATCCACTATGAGAAAAAGCCTAATTAGTCACTTCCTTCGAATCACAAAACATTTTACATTAAACATATCAATAAAAGGAGAAAAGATGGCATATGTTGTAATTTTGAACCATGAATTCACAAACCCCTCCAATCAAATGATTACTTTTTCACACTTTTATTTCATTTTAAAAAATTACTTTTATGTTTTATTAATACTTTTAGTATAATATTTAAAAAAAAATTAATTAAATTTTATATTTTTATTACGTTCGATTAAGTCTTTATATATTTTTAAATTAAATAAACTATTTTAATTTTAGATTGAGCTCAATAAACCCATATGACTAATTGTTGAGTTAGTTGAAATATCACTTTTTGTTTTAGTTGAAATATCACTTTTTGTTTTATATCAAGTGATGTTAATGTGATATATTGATATATTGTAATAGATAGCGACATAACATGCTAATATGATATGATGTTTTTATAGTCTACATCAACATCATGTGATTGTAAGATTATAATTTTAATTAATAATAATTAGTCAATTATTAATCATAAAAACTTATTTAATCTAAAATAATATATATATAGAGATTTGATTGAACATAATGAAAAAATAAAAACTTATATAAATTTTTTTAAACGAGTAAACAAATTAAACATTATATTTAATTTAAAATAAAAACTAAAAATATTAATCAAATAAAATATAAGTACTTTTACTTTTAGATTTTATTCGATAGAGTTGATAGGATTCTTCCTCGAAGGTGGAATCACTTTCCAATCAACCACAATCCAATTCACTAGTCACAATCTTCTATAGATATATATATGAAAGTTAGGTTTGTGGGAACATTTTAAAATTACAAAAGTGTATCTTCTTTTAAGGCATTCCATGTGCATTACTATAGAAAACTGCCGTTCCCCACATTAGTATGTCTCTCACTATTTTTATTAAAAGCCTTGTTTATCCTTTTTTTTCGTTTTTTTCTCTCTATAGTCGACCAACTCCATCACAATTAAAATAGAAATTTTTGAACACGGTTAATTTTTTATAAAAAAATAACACAAAATTAAGTAGATTTTGGTTTAAAGTTATTATGTTTTGTGTGTTAATTATGTCAATACGTTTAAATAGATAAAACGTGTTTAAATCATTTAAAATAGATTTGATTAATACAACTTATCATGTTGATTAATACAACTTATTTAGAAATCCGTCTAATATAAATTTAAATAAATTAATTATGTTATGTTATATAGATTTTAATTAAATTTATTTAATAAACATGTTAAACGTATTATGTCATATTATGTAACATATTTAATTTTGTAAAATATTTAATTAATCATATTATATTTATGATATAATTAAGATATGTGACCAGGAATCCACAAATCTAGTGACAAAGTAAGGATTCAATCTTGAATAGTAAAATGAAAATTTATGAGGATGGATCCATGATAAGGGGCCAAAATTAACATAATCGAGAAAGGTAGCTAAAGCTATGAACAGAAATAAAGCATCCACCGAATTACAAGAAGATAATAACGGAATTCGGTAGAACTGATACATCCTGAAAATCCGTGTTCTACGAGTGACAGCCTTTGTCCTTTTTTACCTTTCTTTTCTTTACACCTCACCGACACAACGGCGTCTCGGACACAGACCGACCGGGGCCATTGTCGTCATTTCCACTTACAATTCCCATGGGAACCGTTACAACAGTGCTTTAAAACATGATACCGATGTAAGGGGGCATTTCGGTCATGAACACACGTGATCGCCTCGTGACTCCACTGAACTTTGTTTTCACGAATCCGCCACGTTCCATTTTGGAGCGTGACTCTCAGTTACTTCGCCCCTGTCCCTGCGGGTCTACCGTAACATGGGTGGTCTACACAAAACCCAAGGTTCTCGCAAACGGGACGGGTTTGAATTCAGAGCCAAAAAATTGACTTTTACCCTCTTTTCCCTCTTTTAAATCCCATTTGCAATTTAATATGATAGATCGCGTATCTTAGGATCAAGATTTCCTTTGCATTTGCATGTCACCAACCAACTACTCGAGTCTATTCCGTCTCGATTGTATAAAAATCGGATACCGTAAGTCGGATTTAGAAAAATTATTTGATTCTTATGTTCTTTTAGTTGTTTAAAAGTTCTTTCACTTTCTCAATTATTAGCTTTCATCTACCGGGTCTCAGAAAAGTTTGCTAACTATTTAGTTGAGTAGTGAAATGAAGTGATAGCTTGATCTTACGCTGTGTGGTTCCCATTCTATCATTTTGTATCTATATTCAACCTTTAATTAAAGTAGTGAGCAAAACCCAGGTCACAAATTTGTCTTTTTTCAGGCAAAACTGCATTTATTGGGGTGCTGGTGCTGTATGCTAAACGGGTTATGAGCATTATGCAACAGAACACATGAAGAAGTAAATGTGATTTCTCCATTCCCAAGAAATGTTTTCTTCAACTTTTTAAGGTTTTGCTTTTCTTTTTTTTTTTTTTTTGAGTTTTAAGTGGAAAGAGAGGAATGGAGACTTTCAGAGTTGGTTTCTGTTCATTGCTTTCTGTAATTTTCATGCTTGTTCCAGTTTCAATGGGGCAGCTTACTCCAAGTGAAACCAGGATTTTTTTCCAAGTTCAAAGGCTTCTTGAATATCCTGAAGTTCTTCAAGGATGGACAAATTGGACCAACTTCTGTTACCTCCCTCCTTCTGCTTCTCTCAAGATTGTCTGTACAAACAGTCGAGTAACAGAATTAACTATCGTTGGAAACAAGAGCTCTCCAGCTCACAGCACAGCGACAGCTTCAGGGAATGTTGTTGCAGGTTCTCAACAGGCTTTGTCTGGGAAATTCTCCATTGATGCATTATTCACTGTCCTGACAAAGCTTTCGAATTTGAAAGTACTGTCCCTGGTGTCCCTGGGGTTGTGGGGTCCCTTGCCTGCTAAGATCAACAGGTTTCGTTCACTTGAAGTTCTTAACATAACCTCAAATTTCATTTCCGGGGAGATTCCTATTCAGATTGCATCGTTCAAGAATCTAACCAGTCTTGCTTTGGCTGACAATCTGTTCAATGGGAGTGTCCCAGATCTTACAGGCTTGGCACACCTTGAAAAGCTGAATTTGGGTGGCAACCACCTTGGTCCACAATTTCCTTCATTAAGCCAGAGTCTTGTGAGTTTAATATTGAGCAAAAATTCTTTTAGATCTGAAATCCCTTCAGGATTGAAGAAATTCTATCAGCTTCAGATGCTGGATATCTCTTCTAATGGATTTGTCGGACCAGTCCCATCTTTTCTGTTCTCCCTGCAGTCAATTCAGTGTCTTAATCTGGCCCAAAACCAGCTAAGCGGGGCCCTTGCAGTGAGCACAGCCTGTAGCAAGAACCTCATGTTTGTAGATATCTCAAACAACCTTTTGATAGGAAAACTCCCTCCATGCATAGGATCAAGTTCGACAAACAGAACACTCATTAGCTCATGGAATTGTCTGTCTGGTGGAAATTCAAATCGTCAGCATCCACATTCATTTTGCAACAAAGAAGCATTGGCTGTCAAGCCTCCAGTCAGAAGAAAAGAGCAAAAGTCTGGGATCAAAATAGGCCTAATGCTTGGTATCATTGGAGGCGTTCTGGGCATTGCAGGAGCTATTGCTTTGTTAATTTTGGTCATTGTCAGAAGATCAGAAAGAACTGAAGATGCAAACTATGAAAGATCCATTGCAGACAAAATGTCTGTTCGTAGCTCTCCAAAACCAGCCATTGATTCAAGTAAGACTATTCAAAACCGTTCATGCAAGCATCATTTCAAAATTGTCATCATTCAACCTACTAAATTTGCTCCATTTTGCTACACTCCAGGGCGTGTGCCTCAGACAATGAGATCAGCTGCAATTGGGCTTCCTCGATATCGTGTTTTCAGCTTGGAGGAAATTGAAGATGCAACAAACAACTTTGACCCATCAAATTTTATGGGGGAAGTATCTCAAGGACAGGTAAAACATTCGTGTTTAAATCCCATTACTCGTTAGTCCCCTGAGACATGAAACAAGAACAAAAGATTGAAAAATGGTTACTCTGACGTTTGCAGCTCTATAAAGGTTGGCTCGTAGACGGCTCAATGGTGGTGGTGAAATGTCTGAAACTAAAGCAGAAGCATTTACCTCAAAACCTCATGCAACACATGGAAGTTCTGTCCAAGCTAAGACATCGGCATTTGGTTAGCGTTCTGGGACACTGTATTGTTACTTACCAGGATCATCCCAACACAGCAAGTACAGTTTTCGTTGTCTTTGAGCACATTTCGAATGGATCATTGCGGGACTATCTTACTGGTAAACAAGCTAACCCCCACAATAAAACTCAGACAACAGGGGCAAAAGCATATGTTTTAAGAATTTTAATTTACTTTCGATGCGATTATTGGCAGATTGGAGAAAGAAGGAAATACTGAAATGGCCGCAGAGAATGGCAATCACCATTGGTGCTGCTAGGGGAATCCAGTTCTTGCACACAGGAATTGCCCCTGGCATATACGGAAACGATTTGAAGATTGATAATATCTTGTTGGATGAGACTCTTACAGCCAAAATCAGTAATTACAACATCCCCTTGCCACTTAAGGTATATGAAACAGAAGGAAAATTCAAATTTATTTCTGAATTTTATCTGTTCATTCTGTTTCTCATTTTTGTTTTTCTGTTTCCCTGATGAAATTGCAGGCGGGTTCAGAAAGCCCCCTGGCCAATCGTCTTAGTAGGTAACAGCCTTTTCTCCCACCTTGTCCACTGCAATTTTCATTCCTTCCAAGGCTATAAACTTACAACTACTCCTTTCTGCAGTGATGAAAATGCAGAGAAGGAAGACATTTATCAGCTGGGAATTCTTCTACTTCAAGTAATTACTGGTAAACCGGCCACATTCACAAGTGAACTGGATGAGCTTAAACTTCAGGTATGTAGTTCATTTGTTCCATTTCTCCAGGCAAAACCGTTTAAAAAAAAAAAAAAGCACCAAGGCAGTGCATGAAACTGCCTGTTTCTCCTTGCAGCTGGAACAGGGCTTAGCTGAAGGGCCATCAAAGTTAAGAGATGTTATAGATCCCTCCATTCGGGGCACTTTTGCATACGAATCAATGAGAACCACAGTCGAATTCGCTCTCAATTGCCTGTGCAAAGATTCGACCAAGCGCCCCTCCATAGAAGATGTTCTTTGGAATTTGCAGTACTCAATCCAAATTCAGGACGGATGGACCAGCAGCGGAAACCTTGCCACACATATGTAATACTTCATTACATTTTCTCAACTGTAGGCAAAAATAAACGTTGGGATTTCCATTTGTATTTATATAAGATTTTTTGTCGCAAATTTTCATAATAAAGTTTCCACATGGACGTTTGTTTTACTTTTTGCTGGGAGCTGAGTTATGGTTTCTATATGCTTTGAGCCTTAACCCAGAGTGCTGCCGCAAGAAGAGAACAAGGAGGGGCAACTCATTTCTTTACATTCGAATCATACTAGCGGCTAGCGCCCCTAGACTTCCTGCCTTCCCCCAGACCGGAAGAGGGAAGAGAGAAAGGAAAGACAATTCCGGCACGATCCTGGGCATCAACGGCCTTTTCACCTAAAAGAGAAAGTTTAAACCAACTTTAAACAAATGAAGCACAAGAAGGTAAAACAATCATTTCAATTAAGGGAGCACCATCCATCCACAGAAAACAAACACCACATCTAAGTCAAAATAGTTTGCAACACATTTTCAGTGTCAATGTTATTTAGACAGGCCATTGGACTATTTTTTTTGACGTTCCATAGAACCAAACCATGAGGTATTAATCAGCAGTCCAACTCTGCTCGACAATCTCACGGACTCTCCTATTGTATTCACGCTTGTTCTCACTAAACATCCTAGCAGCTTCTGAATTTGCAGGAGAATTTGGATTCGGATCACAGAGCAATGACTGCACACAAAAACTAATATGGATTAAAACAACAGAACAGAGACAGAAAGAGAGTACATAGTTTTATAACATAATACCTGTGTACCATTAGATCCTAGGACTCTTAATTAGAGGTATCAACTATTAAGTTTGGGACTGGGAAGGGTAAGCTCCGATTGTTTAGCCCAAGGCCCAACTTTTGGATATATTACACATGCACACACACACACACACACACAAGCTATCTCATTAATGATTTCTGCAAAGATATTAAGAGGAAAATCTGATTCCTTCACATGCATGCCCGACAGGACCAAATAATATTTGTCTAAGGCTCAATATTCCAGGTTAACACAAACATATTTGATACTATCATCATCTTAATGAAAGATCTTCCAATCAATAACAGCCAGCTGGTGGTCGTCTGTACAGCTTTGGAATGGCAACCAATGTTTCTGCTTCCACAACTTTCATATGAAAGTTTACAATATGAGGTAGGTAGTTTAGAAGCAAAGGCTAAAACACACTTGAATTGGAATGAAATCATATTTTATTCCATGGACCTTAGTTAGCTGCAACTCAATGCCTGAAGAATTATAAAGTACCTGAATAGATGTCAGTATTGCCGCTACATCATAAATTGGACTCCACTGATTTTGTAGAATGTCCAAGCAGATGCTTCCATCTGCATAAACTGAAAAAATAGCAAGATAAAATTGGGATTAGAACCAGAACAGCTAAAAATTATTGCCTAAAAAATATGCCAGAGCACACAGATAAAACATTTATTTTTTTTTTGAAATCAATACATAAAACTTTTTCATAACAAATAAAATACAATATCAATAGAAAGTTAGGTTTTAATGGCAGAAAACCAGAAACTGAAGCCAAACACGTAAACTTGTTATGTCAACATCAGCTTAGAAGCCTCAATCGTATGTATAGATGTTAGTGGATGGCCACGGAAATTTTGGAACTCCACGAATGATTGGAACTTGGAATATCAGTCCCATGAGGCATACAGTTCACATGAAATGAACAGCAGAATGCTGCTCTGTTCTGCCTTAAGAGGTGCCAATGACACAAAGAACTAGCACATCATGGCATTGAACTTCCGGAACATTAGCTGATGTTTGATTCATTAACAAATGTAGTCCTCTTCCGAGCACCCACTTTACAACTAGAGGTCTACTCATTCACAAGTATAGTCAATAAAAGATCAGAGCATAATCACAGCCTAGTATAGTTTCACCCTATATATTACAACTAGAGGTCTACTCATTATGTGTTATAGTAACGGACAAACATAAACAGCACAGTTTCACCCTGTATATATTACACCCTCATGCAAGAAAGTAGAAGTTTATCCTACACTAATATGTCAAATGTTGAATACAACAATTAAGAAACTGCCACATATGCGAGAAAAATCAAAATGTAAACTGAAAATGTGTATGTAGTTAGAGAATAAAGTTAGTATAGTGCTTACTGTTTGGATGGAACATTCGAGAAACAAAACGAACCGTTGGTGGCTTGTTCGGATAATCCTCCGTAAACTGAAGAGTCAGTTTAAACGTACCTGAAAGACTCAGAAATATCACAACAGAGATGAATTTATAGTTCTTAGCAGTATACCCATGTTCTATGATAATTATCCAAAGAAATAGCTTAAATAAGCATGACCGTTTTGTTTTGTTTTGTTTTAGAGAGCTACTAGACATAATAGAAAGTCAAGGATTCATATACTCAAAGCGTATCAGCCTTTTCATTTTGGTTAAAAGGCAGAGGCTGAATGAGCATCCCCTCCAAGAATATCCTCACAAGATTGTTTAACATCTTCTGCTCCATTATTCACATGAAAAATATGTCTTAAGGAACCACCATCAGTGCCACTCTGGTCAAACAAATCCTAACCTTCAGCATTTGGTAAGTATCAACACATAGGACTCACATACGCTCTGTTCTGTTTTTGGGGCAAAACTTACTCAATTATAGCAAACAAATTCACAAAACTATTCAAAAAAGCTAGTTGTAGATGAAGCATTTAACCAATTAATGTATGGGAAATTGATAATATCATTAAGGCATTGCACAATTACAGGGAAATTTGTCTCCAATTGGTTAGGTTTTATCAATATATAGAGTGCATAGCAATCGTTAAAGAGGTAAAAGGAGACAGGCAAACAAATCCACCAAACAACTATAGATAAATTGATAATTGAAACTGAAAAATGCAAACAAGTATACTTTACCTCCATCCCATGGGGTGTCATCAGGCCTGCAAATCAATCAAGTAAAGACATTAGCACAACTTCATTGGATCTTTCTCCAAAAACATCACAGGAAAAACAAGCAAACAAAGTAGGAAAAGACAATCCAGCCTTGTTTCGTCACATACCCAAATATAACAGCATTCCAGAGCATAATATTGTTATCTTGAGGAGCACCACTAATTCCTGCAGGAGGATCTTGTTGCAACCTCTTAAAATCCCTCATCAGTCTTTTCCTTGCTGGAGTCGACATCCTCACCGCCTGCCAATTCAAGAGGAAGCCAATTCAAAATCATTACCAAGATGCACACAATAAAAGAAAGAACAAACCGGAGTTCTTTAACATAAACATCAAACACAACGGGAGGCAGCTCTCTTCCATGCCATAGACTCTACCCAACATCCCCATGATTCGAACTAAACACTTCCACCCTGGAATCTCAACCTCTAATCATTGGGACGTCCATTGGGGACTACCTAACCTCAATTTACTAGCCATCATATCAAAAAACATTGATAACATAATTTGGTTAAATATAAAGCAATAAAGAGAAAGAACCAAGGTAACATGAGCGGACTTTTGCTTTTAACTTTTGTTCCAGACACTGATTCAGCAGATGACAACAATTAAACAAAAAAACCCAAGATTTCAGTTTAAGACATTTAGAAACAAAAAATCTCAGAGAATCTAGCCATAAAGAGTTAAAATCACCATAAAAATCAGCTAAAAGCACACATCTAATTAATACCCAAAAGAATCAATCTTGAATCCCCAAATCTTACATAACCCTAGATCCATAACTACAACAAGAACGATCAAAAACCTTGAAGCTTCATATCTAACAATCAAAAGAGTTTCCCTCGGATATATAATAACCAAACGCAAATCGAAGCAAAATTAAAGAAAAGAAACAAAAAAAAAACACAAAATAGGGTCTTACTTTCTGAGTAAACGCGGCGAGTTAACTAGGATTCTCCAAAAGCAAGCTAACAGAATCACAACGAGTTAACAAAAGAATTAAAAAGAACAGATTTTCCCTTCCCAAGATTTCCTCAGGAAACAAACGGAGAAGTCTATCAGAGAATCATCTCCTTTTTAATTAACTATAAGCCGAAAGATCCAAAAGAGAAGATTTTATTTTCCAAGATTTATTTTATTTTCTTCTTTATTTATAACAGAGCAAAGCGATGATGGCTCACTTTATATATAAGTCTCTTTTTCTGAAAAAATAAAAAAAAAGAATTATTTTTCCAATTTTAATTATTCATCTTTTCTTAATTTCACAAAATTAGGATAAAACTTTTAATTTTAATTTTAAACATTATAAAAATAAAAAATAGATTAAAATAAATGTCAGAAAGAGTATTATTTAATTAATTTTTAATTCTCCTTTATTTTATTTGGCGGACCTTAGCTGCCAAGTTGCTAGCTAGGCGACTCCATGCATTTATTCCCACTTGTACCTTTATTTTTTTATATAATAAGATGCATAATTTAATTAAATTTTATTTTTTTAGAATGTTCATTTTTCACTATAGTAAATACTTATATAATTAAATTTTTCGATGTAGACACTGGGAAAAGTTTTTTCAAACAGGAATTATGCACATGGGCGGTCGAAAATATATATGATTAATCATGACACGTTTGTTTTTCCTATTGAAGCATATTAAATTTTATTAGTTGAAAAACTTTATTCCCAACTTTGATAAGGAAATCTTGCTACCAAATCAATTTCATTACTTAAAAAATAAATAAATCATGGGCTTTCACTATCATAGTGGGTTTTTTCATTTATACTCAAAACGAGTTAAATTTTTTGAATATAATTTTTATTTTATATATAATAAAAAATTTGATAATATTTCACTTGTTTGCCACTTTTGATATTCATGCGTAAATCTCACGCCGTGGGAATTTTATTTTATTTTTGTATAAAAAATTAAAATATCTTTATAATTATTCGTTTATTGAATAATTTATAATTTATATTCTTTTCTCGAGTTACTTATATTTTGGGTCAATTTCAAAGTATAAAGTAGATAAAAGAAAAGGTAATGGTTTTTTTTCCTTTTTTATATTTTTGGGATATTCTCAATCTTCTTCTTTCATCCATTCAAAGAAAAAAAAAATAATGAAAGGTCTATGAAATTTTCATAATCTTTTTCTTTAATTTTCTTTTTTTTGGCTTAATAAGCTAATATCTTACCTTAATGTTATTCTTTAATCAAAGAATTATATTCGAATTTTTTATTATTAAAGAATTAATTTCTAAAAAAAATTCCAATTCAACTAATTCAACCAGAGAGCATTAAACTCTATTAAGATTGTATTTTTAGTATAATAAGAAAATATTTTGTCTTCAGTCATTTTTTAAATCTTGAATTTCATCCTTCACTTCCATCTTCATTATGTAATTTTTTTTTCTATTTTCTTGATTTTGGCATAATCTCATGAAACAGCAAATATTGAAACTGGTGACAAAGGGATCGTACAAAGAAGCACTCCATTTGCACACTCAACACCACAAAGATTCATTGCTTCCCAACAAATTCACGTTTCCTCCTCTGTTCAAAGCCTGTGCCAAGCTCCACTCGCCAATCCAGGGCCAAATCCTCCATACCCATCTCATCAAAACCGGGTTTTCCCATGACATTTACGCTGCCACAGCTCTCACTGGCATGTACATGAAACTGCACCACTTTGAGTATGCTCTCAAGGTGTTTGCTGAGATGCCTGACCGGAACTTGGCCTCGTTAAACACGATGATTTCTGGGTTTTGGAGGAATGGGTATTGGGAAGAAGCTTTGTTAGTGTTTAAGGAGATGGTTTTTGGATTGTCGAGGCCTAATTCACTTACTATAGCTACTGTTTTGCCAGCTTGTCAAAGTCTAGAACTTGGCATGCAAATTCATTCTTTGGCTGTTAAGTTGGGGGTTGAATTGGATGTTTACGTGGCAACTTCATTGCTGACTATGTATTCTAAGTGTGAAGAGATAGTTTTAGCCACAAAAGTGTTCGTGAAGATGACTAATAAGAATGTTGTCAGCTACAATGCTCTTGTTTCAGGGCTTTTGCAGAATGGGGTTCCACGTATGGTGTTGAACGTGTTTAAGGAAATGAGGGACAGTTCACTAGAAGAGCAGCCCAATGCTGTTACTTTGCTTTCTGTCATATCTGCCTGTGCAAGTCTTTTGTATCTACAGTTTGGCAGGCAGGTTCATGGGGTTGTTATGAAAGCTGAGATGCGGTTTGATACTATGATCGGAACTGCACTTCTTGATATGTATTCAAAATGTCGGGCATGGCAGTGGGGTTATGATGTTTTCAAGGAGATGAATGGAAACAGGAACTTGATAACTTGGAATTCAATGATTGCAGGGTTGATGTTGAACAATCAAAGTGAGATGGCTGTTGCACTGTTTGAGGAGTTGGAATTTGAAGGAATAAAACCTGATTCAGCAACATGGAATTCGATGATAAGTGGGTTTTCGCAGTTAGGGAAGGGATTTGATGCCTTTAAGTATTTTGAGAAGATGCAGTCTGCTGGTGTAGAACCGAGTTTAAAATGCTTTACCAGTCTTTTGCCCGCTTGTTCAGTTTTGTCTGCTTTAAAGCAGGGAAAAGAGATTCACGGGCATGCTATAAGGAGTGGCATTAGTAAAGAGGAGTTCATGGCTACTGCATTAATTGACATGTATATGAAATGTGGGCATTCCTCTTGTGCACGTAAAATGTTTGATCACTTTGAGTCAAAGCCTGATGATCCAGCATTTTGGAATGCAATGATTTCCGGTTATGGAAGAAATGGAGATAATGAATCAGCATTGGAAATTTTTGACTTGATGCAGGAGGAGAAGGTAAAACCGAATTCTGCAACTTTCATATGTGTTCTATCTTCATGTAGTCACACCGGTCAAGTTGACAGAGGACTGCAAGTTTTCAGAATGATGGTTGAAGATTGTGACTTGAGCCCAAATCTTGAGCATTTTGGTTGCATAATTGATCTTTTGGGTAGATGTGGCAGACTAGAAGAAGCCAAAGAAATAATACAAGAAATGTCCAACCCTCCTGCTGCGGTTTTTGCTTCTCTGCTTGGTGCTTGTAGGTGTCACTTGAATTATGAGCTAGGAGAAGAAATGGCCATGAAGCTTTCAGAGTTAGAGCCAGAGAATCCAGCTCCTTTTGTCATACTGTCCGACATTTTCACTGCAGTAGGAAGGTGGGGAGATGCGGAAAGAATAAGACAAGTGATAGATGACAGAGGATTGAGAAAACGATTCGGATTTAGTTCAATAGCAGTAACATGAAAAGGAACATCTTCTGGAAAATGCTTTGATGCCACCTTATTCAATTACATTTCTGCATCTTCTTGGATTTTTCCAGGTTACTGGAAAAGAAGTTTCACTCTTCAACATTTGTTTCTCTGGAAACTGGATAGCTATGTGACAAGGAAAAAACTCCCTGAATTTTGCTCAGTTGCACGCATGAAAGGAAACATCAAAATTGACTGGATTTATTTCAATTGAAATTACATGAAGAGAAGCTGCATATACAGAATAGATTGTAAACTGAATCAAATTCAACTACATCTCTGCATCTCGAAAGGTTGCGATTACAACAGAAACTTCAATGATTCAACATTTCTTTCACTGAAAACCCAAAGTAGCTATCGAAAAAGTTTGGGGGCTCAAATATGAAGCAAGAGATCACATCTCTGAGAGTAATTACACCGATAACTTCATATTCATTCTCAGCTACTACATAGATCCTGTGCACCAATTTGGTGGCAAGACTCTGGATCACACTACCAAGAGTTGAATCTACCTTGCATGTTATTGGCGGGGTGAGTCTGCCAAATTCTTGGCCCATTGAGACAACAGTATTCATGAAATCCTTCACAGTGAGCTGCCTGAAATCAAGAATCAAGTAGATGAAAGCATTGTTAAACCAATAAGGGTTGTGTGGAATATTCTTTGCAAGGTTACTAAATAATAATTTCTTGGAGAGAGATTAGGTAAGTATCTTCTGAAGTGATCTAAGTCACGTTTCTTCAGCAATTCAGCATATGTAATTTTTTAATGGACTATAATAGATAAATAACAGAACTTATCTTTTAGCTTGGTTTGCTGATTATCGCTTCTTGTTGGTAAATAGTTTTTGGATGGGAGTGATTGAAATTTCAGCATCTAAATATGAGGTATGCTATGCAGTTTTAAAGCTTTATGCCCTTGCCTTGCCATACCTGAAATTGGAGAAAAGTTCAGGTTTGAGCAGCAAGTGTCTGATGTCTCTTATGCTTATATTCCCAACAATCTTTTTGCTTGGCCCCTCTACAACCGGAAGACCGCCAACTTGGTTGTCTCTCATTCTCTTGAATGCTTCAAGAACCAGGCCATCACTTTGGATGCTAACAACCTGGCAAAGTACACACAGAGATTATTTAAGTTTCATATTGAAAGTAGCTTGAAAAATACTTTTCAGTTATTTTGAAGTAACCAATAAAGTTTCACCTCATCAGGAGACATGAAAGGGAGTCCCAAATCAGAAATAGGCCGTGAAGAAATGCAGTCGAACCAGTCCCTCCCTCTGCATCCTTCCAGACCTCCAACAACTGCAGATTGAGTGATGTAGTTCTTGATATCGGGCTTGCCTGGCTCAATTACAGGCACATTTCTCAGCTTATATTTTGAGAGTAGCAGTAGGACACTCAACATGGAACTGTCCGTTGCAACTGGAACGAATGGAGCCCACCTGTATGATTTAACTATTGACCTTACCTGAAAAATAAAAAAAATACAATATCATGCGCTGAGTACCTTTCAAGATGGTGTAAAAAGAAGACTAGATCATCATCCTGATGTCTAATTTGTGTTTTACTTGGTCCCCATATTATCATTCATAGAGAAAGGAAACTAAGGATTAAAGATTGACAAACATGGCCTACTGCACCCGCAGAGCCAGTAAAAATGAATATATAATGGTAAATTGAACCAAAATTTTTGTATACATAATCAGCGTTTCACCATAAACTTACAGTGGTTGACTTGAAGGGTTCTTCTTGAAGGATAACTTTGTAAAAATCCTCGCCCAAGTTGTCAGCAGCTGACGGAGCATCTTTTCCTACACCTTGATCAGCTGCCACGCCACCAGCCACAGCAGCTCCTACTGCAGCAACAGTT